GTAGTTAAGGGAGCCAGCACGCACACGGTCAATGGCAGTTTGAATCCCAGCCCTGGCTGCTTGAAAAACACACGGGGCACATGTGCGTGTGTGCCTGACACCCTGACGGGATGGCGAAATGGAAGAGAATGGATTGTAGCACGGTTACGCTCCACTGGGGGGTGCTTTCTTCCTCTTCCCCTCTCTCCCTGTCTCTGACCAGCACACACATGCTCAGGCAAAAACAAACAAACAAACAAAAATAACCAAAAAACAACAAAAAAAAAAACAAAGGAGATGTTGGAGAATGAAACTGGTGGCATCATGGTTAGGGCGGCTGGATCCCACGTGCCTGCCAATGCAGTTTGCGTCTCAGACCCAGTGGCTTGTAAAACACACTGGGTGAATGTGCATGTATGTCCAAATGCCCTACAGGAGGGAGAAATGGAGAAGGAATTGCAGTGTGACCATCCCCTGGGGGGGGGTGCTTTCTCACCAACACCCCCCTCTCTCTCATAAGCACATATACCCTCTGGAAAACTTTAAGAAAAAGAAGAGGTCCAGCAGGTGGCATGGTGGTTAAGGCACTGGACTCCCACATAGCTGACAATGCTTTGAGTCCTGGACCTGGCAGCTTGCTTTCTCAGTTTCCCTCTCTTTCTCTCTGGTATGTGTCCTATAGATGTGTCCTATAGCAATTTAAAATAATAATTAATAAAATAAAAGAAGAAGAATGTTTATCATCAGACTTTGTTTAGCTCTGTTCTGTTTGACATTTTGCTTCCCAGAACAAAACGGCATCTGGCCCAGAGCAAAGGCAGCCGGGCTGCATGGAGTGACGCCCGGTGTTCGGGATGGTGGCTGCTGACCTGGTGAGGGGGCAGTGGTCTCAGCAGGCCAGAGCGAGGCCGCAGCATGGTGGTGTGTGTTTCCAGCCATCAGGTCTTCTGTCTGGTGCTGGGAATCTGTCCCCTAAGGCAGCCAGTGATGATTTCCACAATTTTATGACCTTGGCTGCAGCCCAATTACAAATAAGTCCGAAGTCACCCTCTTCCCCTCTGTAAAATTCCACTTCTGTGCCCTGGCCTTTCCTCTGAGAGCCTTTCAGACCAGTGAAAACAGAGAGCGGAGCTTCACCCCCAAATGTATAATTGGCATAGTTCTGCTATGGCCACCCCTGAGCCCTCCTTGCCCCACACACATGCACACATGCACACACAGTTCTTGAGCATTGGGAGTAAGGGGCAGTCAGATACTGATGAAAGAAAGGCTGACTTTGCTTTGTCTTTTCAATGGATACCTTACTGAAAACTGAGGAGATGGTCATTTCTATATCGCAGGTAACATCTGGAACAGTATGGACATTTAGTTAATACTGATAAATAGAGAACAACCACTTTCTGTGGTACAGAATTAGGGAGAGGTTGACTCGAATAAAAGAGTGGTGGGAAGAAACAAAGTATGGATCCTGAATAAGCAAGGCAAGAGTCCCATCGGGCATAAGGATGGTCCTGATATTATAGCCATAGTACACAGGGCGAGGTTGGAGTCAGGATTCAAACAAGAAGGGAAGCCTTCAGCAGCCCCAGGTGTCTGCGGTAACCGTGGGGCTCAGAGCAGGGCTTGGGTTTTAGGGATCAGATATGCCCCTGGGATCAGAGCAGATTGAACTGCAGACAGAACATGACTGCAGAACCCTGGTCCAGGAGATCCCTAGCCTCTGCCTTGGCTTTTAAATGTCTTGGTTTGGGTGACAAGTATTGGCAGATTTTTCTTAATCTCCAGGTTCAGGACAGGTTCCATGGATATGTGTAACTAGTGGTTGCTCCATGACTGGAGGACTAAGCACTCCGGGAGGTCTGTCCAGTCAGAGTGCTTATTCCATCAACTGAGTGCCTCCCACATGTGACAAACTCAGCTTAGCACTGGGGAAAGCACTAAGAAGTGTGCAGTATAAATGTAGCTCTTGCTCCCAGACTTTGGTTATAGTAATGTGTAGAGTTAAACAGCAAAAAATTAACAGGGGAAGAGATTTATAAGACATATGTAATTTGTGGCCAAATGAATAGTAGCTATGGTAGGTAGGAGAGTTGGAGCGCAGAGGATGGATAGTTGTGACTTGGGGTGGTCTGGAAAGAGGAAGGGTCAAAACTATAATAGTTGGTCTTTGGATAAGCTGAGAAAGGCTTGGGTAAAGGCATGTCAGATGGGGAAATGATGTAGTGTGTGAAGGTGGGACATATAAGAGACATTCTAGAGATGATGAGTAAATCAGTTTAATTAACATTGACGGTTCAGAAAGGTTCAAAGTTAAAGCTGATGCCATCATCATCAGGTAGTTGGAATCAAACATAAAGGTGTTGAGTCCCCCACTTTATCTCCTAGTCACTAAGGAGTCATTGAAAGTTTTTGGACAGAGAAGTTTTTGGACATGCTCAAAGATGTTTTAGGAAAATTAATCTGGTGGCCAAATATACGCAAATTAAAGAGGGAACGAGTGTCCAGGTAAACCAGATGTCTGTATTTGCTACAGTCCTACCAGAAAGTGGTAAGTGATTCAAAAATGGAAATGGCAGCAAGAACAGAAGTAGAGTTGAATCAAGAGACATTTTGAAGGAAGGAGAAAATAAGACTTAATGCCTCATTGTCTATGACAATAAAAAATTATCAAAGGTAAATCCGCAGTTTGGGAACCAAGTAGCTAGAAGAATATTTTATGAACAGAAATGGAGATGTTAGGATGAAGGGTAAGATGGCTAGATTCTTAGGAAAAGAAAAGGAATTCCACTGTGGAAGATTATCTTTAATGTTGGAGGATGCAGAAATATGTCACTGGAGTGTACAAGGGAGAATTCAGCCTATCATAGACAGGTGGGGGTTGCCTGCATAAGAATGACAGCTTAGGGACCAGCAGATGGTGTAATGGTTATGTTGCGGGACTCCCACGTATTTGATCACTGTTCGAGTCCCGGACCCAGTGGCTTAAATTCATGCTGAGCACGTGTGCTTGCATGCCCAAAATCTCAATCAGAGAGTGGATAAGAAGGGATTAAGGCATGGCCATTCCCCCCGGAGGGTGATTTCTCTCATTCCGTTTCTCCGGCCCTCTCTATCTCTCCAGCGAACACACATACCCTATAGCAAAAATGACAGCTTAAATTGTTTGAATGGATATTTTCCAGAGAGAACAGAGTCAAAATGTTGGAAATGCCAACGTTTCAAAGGAGGAAGCGGAAGCCCCCAAGCACGCATTGTGCAATCAGACTTGGGAGGAGAAGGTTACAGATTCACATAAGTCCGGATAAGATCATCAAGAAGGAAGTCATGGTCAGCAGTATCAGATGTTGCAGAGAGGTTCAGGAGAACAGGGGCTGAGAAAGGCCATTGGGTTAGGCAATTAGGAAGTCATTTAGCTTTAAGAACTCAGGCCTAGAGTGCATGAATGTGGCCGGGGAGATGGACTCAGAGGTGAGCACTAAAGAAAGGGACCACAAACCATTGATTACCAGTGAGACGAGGGAGAGCGTCAGAGGGGCTTCGGCTGCCCTCCGCTTGCCCTCCAGGTTGGGTGTCCATGTGTGCACATACACAAAGGCAGAGGGAAAGATGGAGTCGTTGATTTCTTTGGCCAGCCTACTGAGAACTTGGACCCAACTGGCAGAGAGAAAGTGAAAGCTGTAAGGGGAAGAAGCGTGGAGGTAGCAGGGGTCAAGAGAAAAATGGGAGAATACATGTCGTAAGAATAGGAGAAAGTTTTAGTGCTGAAAAGGAGAAACACTTTTTCCTCTGGGACTGGAGACAAGGAACGGAGGAGGAAGGTGGGCATAGACTCAGGAATGTCTTGAAATGAAGCCGAGACTAAAGGAGGAAAGTGAGGCTGACCTCAGGTTTCTGGACAGAGCAGAAGGTGGGTCACCCACTGAGAAGGGGGGTGGAGCAGGGAGATGGGTGACGGGTGGAAAGGGAGCAGTGAAATAACCACTCTAGGTGCTGCTAGGCGCCCAGAGAGACGCGAGCACCAGGACAGCCAGTTGCCAGTGGCACCCGGCAGAGGCCTCTCTTTCCCCGTGCTCCCACAAGAAAAGTTT